CAGCAGGAACAGTGAGAGGGAAAGTGAGAAGTCACCCTCCAGGAGGGAGGGCCACACTGCAGCCCCTCCTCCACTCCCCCTAGGATTCTGGGCACACATGCACTGTGCCCGGCACGGTTTTCAGGTCACCGGGTCTGGACTTGAACCGCCGTCGGCCGTGTGGGAGTCCAGCCCCTTTACCACCACGCCACCTGCTGGCCCCTGACTCCAGGTTTTAATTAATTTTTTCACTTCTAAGAAAATAAACAAATGAAGTATTCTTGAGCTGAAATTGGATCAACTTCACCTTACCATAAATTAGACTGGGGGGCCTTGCGTGTGCACGTGTGTGCGTGTGTTTCTTAGATGACTGCGTAGACGAGGAGTCTGTTTCGAGAGCCTGGTGACAGTTCGTGGTCTTTGTGACACAAACTGCCTTTCCAGCCCTCGCTGCTTTGATGGGGAGGAGCGCTAGAGTTCTCTCTGCCTTGTGGAAGTGCGTGCAGGGACACCTCTGGGCATCTGTCTCCCCCGTCATGTACCGTAAGTGTCCCGCACTAGATAACGTGACAGACACGATCGTACTAGCTGGTGACACGGCAGATGGAGAAAATCAAAACGTGCCTTTGTTCTGCGGCATGGGTTCTCAGTGGCATCCGTAGGTGTTAGACAAACAGCCTGTTAGGGCAGGTGACGTGCCCTGAGATGAGGTGCACTGGCGAGAACAGCTCTAGGCGGTCCCAGCGCTCTGACGTTGAACCTGAGCGCTGCTCCTGCCTGTCGCCGGTGTCTGTATGTGAACCTCTGTGCCATGTCTCCAACTCTGCCTAGGTGCCACTGTACATAACAAGGGACAGCCATGCTGATCTTCACCTGCAGCATTGCCTTCAGCTGGACATTTGGGAACAGCTCACAGTAGACTTCTCAGCAGCTCGAAACTGAAGCACCTGCAGAGCCATAGCTAGTCACCAAAATACACAGGTGCATGGTACCGTGGAAGGTATCCGGTAAAAACACACAAGTCTCTCTGTGCTTTTATTTTAAGTAACATCAATAAGTGCAGCTTCAATTTTGAACAGAATTCCAGATAATTTGCCGTTGTACCCACCAGACTCTAGAAAATGTGAATTAAAGTACGTTTCTGCAGTCTTTCTGTCTCTTATTTCCGTTTTTTAAAAGAACTATTATTTATTTTATCATTATTATTATTATTATTTTAGTTTGCTACAGGGCTTGTGCACGAGAGAGACACACAGAGAGAGAGGGAGAGAGAGAAAGCTGCCAGATCCAGGACTCAAACCATGCTCAGCCACGTGGGAGTCCAGTTCCTTAACCACCACGCCACCTGCTGGTCCCGCTCCTGCTTCTTTCGAAAGGAGGGTTTGGCCCTGCCTGGAGAGCTTCACGGGCATCATGTGTGTCCCGTTTCCATGGCAGCACCAGCAGGTAGGTGCGGTCACTTCTCCAGTCTGGGAGTGAGGAGCCTGAGGACGAGGAGGCAGAGTCACTTGTCCGCATACACGGACTCCAGGCTGTGGAGCGAGAATTGAGATTGGGAAGTCTCATTCCAGAGCCTTTGTTCCTAATGTGGCCTGAGTTGGCCTGTGGCCATGCAGCCCAAGTGGGGACTTTTAGCGTTTTTTGATTCATATTGAGTCATAGGCTTTAAAATAAGCTTATTTTATTTAATTTTTGGAATAGGTAATACACGTGCAGAGCTGCCAGTCACATGGTGAGCACCCTCCAGTCCCTGGCCCAGCTGTGCAGGCCTGCACCCCACCACACTGACCGCTGCTCTGAGCTTCCTGTGTCTCCACCCACATGTTTAGCCATGTACAAGCAGACACACAGCAGGCCTTTTCTGTCTCAGTTCTACCCAGAAAGTGACAGCTGCATACTGTTTGCTTTCCCCACTCCCCAGTCTCTGACACCTCTCACTAGCACCCGTTCCTGCTCCCAGCAGCCCACTGTCCTGCCTTCCACTGCATAACCAGCCAGCCCGATGGATGGGCACAGGTGTCTCCAGACTGCGCGCGCCCCATTTCACACTTCCTGTGACTGCGCACCTGCAGAGTGGGTTCCAACAGGCCGCGTGCTTTCACAGCTTTGAAAGCTCCAGTGCACCGCCCTCGGCGTTGGCCGCCAGCCCCTCACCGTCCGAGCTTAGTGCGCTGGCTGCGTGCCCAGCCTTGTGGACACAGGAGGTGGTCAGGTGCAGGCCTGGGCTGTGCTGAGAGCACAGGCACTTCAGCCAGAGCGGCCTGAGTCCCTCTCGGGAAGGCTAAGAGCCGTCGGTACCCCCTTAGTGTGTGCCTTGTGCCCTTCCTCCTGCAACCGGGTCACTTCTCTCTCAGTTTCTAGGCGTAACCCATGGGCTGTAACAAACTGCGTATTCCTTCCAACTTGTCACCTGTCTTTTGACTGACGGCCCGGCCCTGCCAGGCACATTGTTTTACAAGTTTCCATAGTCTGATTTGGCGTTTCCAGATTTTGAGTCATAGAATATTTTTCTCCAGAAAAACAGAGTCAGTTCACCTATGTTTTCTTCTAGAGCTTCTACACTTACATTTTGTTACATCTAAATCTTGACCCCTAGGAGTATACCCTGGTGTAAGGTGTACGGTAGGGCCCACACGCGCTCCACCCCTGTGACCACCCAGTTGTTCCAGCACCGTCTGTCGGCCAGTTCACTGAGCTGGGAGGACGAAGTGGAGTCTCGGTGAGTCCAGCAGAGCAGGGTCCAAAGCGGCCAGCGTGGGGTTGGATGGTGCAGGGCTGGTCGCGGTGGCATGTACACAGAGTGCTCTGCCAAAGGAAGTACCAGGCTTGCAGCAGAACTTAAAAGAGGTTCTCTGAAGGTCAGACCACCTGGACCTTAACTCCGAAGGGCCCGTTACCCTAGAGCTGACTGGTACTCCGTTTCATATTAACCTCGATGCTGGGCCCACCGTCAGCTTTCTAGATGGCAGGTGTCTCTCAGTCTGCACGACCCAAGAGGTAAGGGTGTGAGGACCGCTTTTGTCTAAAGCCTTAAGAACTGTTAGGCCATATATCCTACCCTTTAAAGTGAATTATGCTTAAAAGTGTGCAAACTACAGCATATATTACAACATTCTTGGGAAAACCCTAGTGTACTCCAGCATTATGTAAGTTACATGAGATACCTCTGTATAAAAGTACAGATCTTTAGAATTAAATTACTATACCCACTGGAAAAGCCAGCCTCACTTTTAGTACGGAGATAGGGTTTATCAGTCTAAATCAGTGCTTAGTCCTGTGGAGTGTCATAAACCTGTAACAGATAAAAAGCAAGTTCTGTTTCTGAAGGAAAAGTGCCTAAAACCCAGCCGCCTGGGCCAGCCAGAGACGAGGGATCCTCAGACCGCCTGATGCTACCCACAGCTCCATCTGCCGGGCTCCGGAGTCACGTCCTGCGGCCCGGCCCCTGCGTGTGGCAGGGCGCTGTGAGCGCGCTGTCCCCAGTCATGGTGGTCTGGAACAAAACTTAAAAAAGAAGGAAAAGCATTTCAGCACCCCGGAACATGGAACTGTGGGTGACGTGTCCCACTTAGGCAGAGCTGGGACCTTGGAGAGACAGTACCCAATCCACTATGCCGTCATTGTGCATGCGTGTTTCTTTTTTTTGGAGAGGTTTTTTCGCTATAGGGCGCGTGTGCTCGCCAGACAGACAGAGACATAGAGACAGGAAGCGAGAAATCACCCCCCAGGGGGGATGGTCACGCCGCAATCCCTTCTCCTCCATTCTCCTCTCGGGATCTTGGGCATGCACACACACGCGCCCGGCGTGAGATTTAAGCCACTGGGTCCAAGACGCGAACCGCAGTCGACTACGTGGGAGTCCAGCGACATAGCCATTACGCTAACTGCTGGTTCCCGCGTGCGTGTTTCTTAGGGTTTTTACGATAGGAGTCGGAGGAGGCGAGAAATCACCGCAGGCACGTGGCTTATGCTGCATCCCTCCTCCATTCTCCTCTCAGGATCTTGGGCACACACGCATATGTGCCTGCTGTGATATTGAGGCCTCCAGGTCCAGGAATTAGATAGACTACGGTGGTCCATGTCGGAGTCCGGCATCTTAACCATGCCACCTGCTGACCCCCAACCACACAGTTCTTTAACGTGGTCTCTTAAAAATAATTTTAAGAAGAGATTTTTGCTGTAGGGGCCCTTCCCACGGAAGCTCCCATGGACACGGAACACGAGCCCAGCGAGGCAGAGGAGGGCCGCTAAGCCGCACACGAGCCGGCTGCACCTACGGGAACTCAGTGCGGACCTGGGCCCACCTCGCCTCTGCCCGCTGTGACCCAGGACGAGGCACCTGGCCTAGGCTGCTGCCTCAGTTCCTCCTACAATGAAATGGAGGCCACTCGTACCGACCGCACACGAGTGTTAGGAAGTCTGAACTAGTAGTCGGTGCTTGTGAATTTCTGAATGGCGTGTGACACTCAGATGCTAGTAACTGTTCATTAACAGAGTAAGACCGTTAGTGGAATTGTCAGCTAAGATGGACGAAGTTCAGATTTGAAGGCTTCTCCTGGCAGAGGAGCACAGTCCCCCTCCAGCTTTAGAACATGTGAAGACGTAGCCTGGGTCTCCCAGATCGTGCTCCTGGGAGTGCTCCTGCCAGTCGGCGGGGCCCAGGGGACACACTAGCCTGGTTCAGGCTGGCTCTGCAATGGAAAAGTGCTGTTTTTCTTCTAGACCGTCTTTCCTCTTGCATGGCATAGCTGTCCAGGACACGGTGCAGGGACCCGTCCCACCCCACGCTGCAGTGGGGGGCTCCCGCAACTTTCCTCACCCCTGCCGCCAGTCCGACCCGGACACCACTTGCTTAGCTCTCCTCTGCAGCGCCCCACCAACCAGGCCCCTCGCCGTAAGTGGGCCTCACCTGCCCGGAAGTCCCGGAGAGGCGATACTCCAGGCGAGGTCGTCATCGCTGTCGTACCTTCGAGGGTTGTCAAAGAAGTAAGATCTGGGGCTGAATCCGTGGCTCGGGACGATTCCGGGGCTGGTCTAGGAAGAGAGGCCAGCAGTCAGCGCACCTGCAGACACGCCTGGGTGAGATGGCAATGGGGCTGCTAGCCGTGCCATGAGAAAGGGTGTCCTCCCCGGGGCAGGCGGGCCTGCAGCCGCAACACTGGCCTGGGTTGCTTTTCCACCTCAGAGGGTCCCCCTTTCCTCTGCCCTGACGGAGGGCATCAGTGGGCCTTGTATCCCACAGTCAGTCTGGCCCCTGAGCAGCCGGGCCATGCCCAGTGAGCCGGCGATTCTCCATGGGGAGGCCTGCCAGCCCGTCCACGTCCTGCCTCTGCCATCCTCTGTCTGGCCCCCACCGAGTCCTCTCAGCCGTCTAGAGACCGGTTCCGCCAGTGCACAGGCCGTTGCCACCTGCAAGGCCCCCTGCCCGGGAGCTGTGGGGCGGGAAGACTCCGCTGCCAGCAGCTGCTGGAAAGTGAGGTGGTCGTGGTCAGGAAGGGCTGGGGGAGCAGAGGGGCAGAGGTGAGGTTGGCGACCAAGCCTGCTGTGACGTGGACACTAGTTACTGCTCGTGGGCTATGTAAAAGTGAAGGCGGGAGCCAGGTGGTGTGGTTAGGGTGCTTGACTCCCACGTGGCTGACTGTGGTTTGAGTCCCAGACCTGGCAGCTTGAAACACATGCCCCGTGCATGTGTGTAAATACCCCAAATCCCAAGATGGGAGTGGAGGAGAGGGAGCAGGGGTTGCGGTGGGGCCATTTCCCTGGGGGCAATTTCGCTCTGTGTCTGTCTGTCTGGTGAGTGCACGCACCCTGCTGCAGAAATTAAAAAAAAAATATATATTAATAGAAGTGTGGGGAGTGGGCAGTCAGCACAGGGTGTACCTGTGAGCTGAGCCGCATTCCTGAGGTGACCAGCCAAGTACAAGAGGCAGAGTGGACACGCACCAGGAGAGCCTCCCCAGGGTCCTAGGAAACGCCCTGATTTTAACACTAAGAGAGTCTGATTGCACATGGAAGGGCAAGTTGGCCCATCGGATCTCATGTTCAGAGGCTCCTACAGGGCCAGGTGGTGGCCGCCATGACACGGTGGCCATGTGAGTTCGGACCTGCCCTGAGCACGCCGGGCACACATCACAGCCCGTGATGCAGGCTGGCTAAGTCGGTGGGCCACAGCCTGAGGGCCTTGCTGGGGCACCCATCTGCTTCATGGAACAAAGAACAATTTAAAATGGGTCAATGACCTAAAGTATAAACGCAAAAACTAAAACTCTCAGAAGCAAACAAGGTTGGGGCCGACGGCAGCGCGGCAGTGAGACGTGGCGGAGGCCGGTGTCGGGAGACCGCTCTGCGTACACGCGTGCGTCCCGCAGTCGGGGCTGAGGCTGGCGTGGATCGTGGCATCACGCCCTTGCTGGGTGCTCGCTCTCACCCTGTCTCAGGAGCTCACGGAAGAAAGAAGTGTGAACACGCAGGGGCGAGTACAGGACGGCAAGGGGTTCTCAGACGTGACCCCGAAAATCTGTGAGTGGCAGCAGAGGGAGCCCGGGCCGCACACGAGCTCTCTGCAGCCCTCACTGTGGGCTGTGCCGCACCCCGAGGAGCCGGCTCTGAGCAGCTCCGCTCTCGACACCCTGCATGGGAGGTGCGGACATGCCCCCGGCCTGGTGTGCAGCGAGGCCTGCGGGTTACCCGGTACTCCTCCAGCAGCGTCCCTGAACGGTGTGGTGGTGACTGTCGCCCTCAGGATGTGCACGGTCTGTCCCGCGGCCGGCCTTGGGTTCAGGGCCTCCACAGTTCTGCGAGCACTAGGTGCCGGCACGAGGAGGCGTGCAGGCGGCTGTGGCCAGCGCTGGGGTGTGCCGAGGCAACTCCTCAGCAGTCCTCAGTGCAGAGCGCCCCGACGACCAGCTCCCTCGGAGAGGAGAGGCCGCGGCGGCCACCTGGACCCGCCTTTCCTGCACATTTCTCGGCTGGCAAGGAGGGAGCTTTCGGGGGTCGACTTCACGGACACCTCTGTGTGGTCCCCGTGTGGTCCCCACGTGGTCCCTGCGCACGGGCAGATCAGACACCTGCAGGCGGCTGCTCCGCCGCCGAAAACAGGATGGAGGCCCTGCGCCAGCCCCCAGAGAGGCGTTCGGGTTTCAGCCTGGGTGTGGCCCCTGCTCTTTGTCCAGCACCCACCGGGCAGGCTGTGCCCTGCTCCAGCCGAGGGATTCCTGACTCCCTAATCACCCGCAGCCCACCGGAGAGCAGCTGAGTTACTGCCTCCACACGCTCGGCTCTCCCCAAGTCAAGACTCAGCTAGGGAGGCCACGCTGGACTCCGAGGAGCAGAGCCAGCTCACTTCGCTCACTGGCACCTAGCCAGGCCGACATGGCCAACCCCAGCTCAAGTCCTGGCCCCAGTGGCTGGAAAACACACTAGACACCTGTGTGGGCCCCAGGTCCTGTCAGAGTGAGAAATGGGGCAGGGCTTATGATATGACCATGTCCCATCGGGGGTGCTTTACCCTCCCTCACCACCCCTCTGGTGGCACACACACCTGCAAGCAAATTTAAAAAACAATTTTTTTAAAGCACTTCCTCACTTTTCCCGGGCCTTAAGGTGCAAGTTATTATCATTTCTTTTCTAAAATAAAGCAAAACTGAAAACCACACTTTCTTCAAAAGAGAGTTTAGAGAAAAGCAAGTCTCAATAGAAGTCAAGAGAACTTTTTAATACCACAGTAGGATAAAAGAGCCTCTCTTCTCTGAAAAGCTAAGACAAGTTCTAATTGCAGGCTTCATGGTCAGGGTTAGAGATACTTTCTGCAAAAATAAATGGTCACTTACGAGGTCCTTCGTGGGATTTCGAACTCGGAAGAAGTAAACCACCAAGGTGGTGGGCAGGAGCTCCCACACGAAGAGCACCACCCCGAACACCACGTAGCCAGCATCGCCCAACTGATTCTTCAGGTCCGCCTGTTAGAGAGGGTGAGAGCGACCAGCATTGGCACAGTGGCTATGTCACTGGACTCCCATGTGGTTCAAGTCCCAGAGCTGGTGGCTTAAACTCACGGAGGGCGCGTGTGCGTGCATGCCCAAGATCCCGAGAGGAGAATGGAGGGGAAGGGGTTGCAGCGTGGCCATCCCCCCTGGGGGGTGATTTCTCGCTTTCTGGTGAGCGCATGTGCCCTGTAGCTAAAACTTCTCCCCCAAAAAAATAATAAAAAGAGGGGGAGAGTGTCAAGAGACCGCGGGGAACCAACTGGCTCGAACAGAGATTGATTCTAACGTGGGTAATTCTTTTTTTTTTTTGGAGAGATTTTCACTGTAGGGCGCGTGCGCTCGCCAGACAGACAGAGAGAGACATAGAGACAGAAAGCGAGATCTTGGGTATGCACGCACATGCGCCCGGCGTGAGTTTTAAGCCACCGGGTCCAGGACACGAACCGCGGTTGACTACGTGGGAGTCCAGCGACATAGCCATTACGCTAACTGCTGGGTCCCAACGTGGGTAATTCTTCACCCAAAATGTGCAGACCAAACTCGGCAGGCATTTAGCCATCTGGGCTAGATGACTACCTTCGAACGCCTACGGACAGAAGCTCCCCGCCCCCGGCGTCTGACTACTTCACCCCAGAATGTCCCTATGTCCCAACGAGCTCGCATCCGGCCCCGCAGCAGCTCCCCTTGCAGTCCGACAGTGTGTGCCCTGCGCTGCCTCCTCCCAGATCCATGGACCGCGTCTCGCCTGTTAGGCATCCCTAGAATAAACAAGTCAGTTTTCAACTTTTCTTCTCATAAACCGGGCCCTACTCTTCACCCTCAGGACCATGCTAGGGCGGCCCATGTAGACAAACGTCCTGGAGTCCAGGGTGCTGCTGTTGGCATGGCACAGTACCCACGTGGCCTGCAAGGAGAGCAAGCAGCTGGGTTTGGGTACCGCTACCAGAGGGGCCAGTGGGACCAAGTTAGAGAACGCACCCAACCAAGCCCCGAACTCAGCTGGGGCCTGCTCTGCCGCGTGGCGTCCTAAGTGCAGGAGGGCGAGCTGATCGCGCCGATCTTTAGGAAAGGAGCCACCTCGCCCTGGCTGTGCCCCCGTCTCAGCGGCACGTGTCCACACCGAGAACATGCCTATGCTGACCACGTGTCCACACCAACAACGTGTCCACATGACCATGTGCCCACACCAACGATGTGTCCACACTGGCAGCATGTCTATATCGACCATGTGTCCACACCAATCATGAATCTACACCGCCACAAATCTACACGGACCACATGTCTATACGATGTGTCCACACCAATGACGTGTCCACACGACCATGTGCCCACAGCAACATGTCTACACCAACAATGTGTCCACACTGACCACATATTCACAACCACGAATCTACATGTGTCTACACCCGTGACCCCTGCTCCTGGACTACTGTGCTTGCCCCATACAGTCTAGAGCAAGGAGGACCCCCAGAGTAGACCTGAGGGCCTGTTTTAAGTTCACTGTAGCTGGAAGCTCTTGACTGAGAGAAAAGCGGACACCATTGCTTTGTCGACAGCAGGCGGCTAGTGTCCGATGGCAGAGTGCAGAATTCTGAGTGGGCGTGGGCGATGCAATGCCGTGAGTCGCCCACTGTGGGCAAGGCCTGTGTGCTTCCCTATGACACAAACCAGGCCCTTGGGTTTTCGGGCGAAGGCTCTATTGGTCACTGTTTAAAGTTCAGATATTTACATGTTTTATTTTCTCAAAACAGGGCACGCCCTTGGCGCCCGCCGCACCTCTGCCCTCTCGCACTGGTGCTGCCGTCTGGGGCAGGGCTGCGGCCGCCATGGCGACACATCCAGTCTTTGCTCACTGCGACGCCCATGCGTTCTCTGGGCTGAGCTCACGGTCCTTCTCCCGTTGTCTTACACAGCCCAGGGTTTGAGCACTGTTGGGATTTTAGAAGTGAAGTTTTCCACCATTTTCCAGGTGTTCGATGTTTCCCAGATAAAGCCGGGGCACCTCTGCAGAGTGGTTGCACGTCTACCTGTCGGGAGCTTTCCTGTATGTGACAGCTTCTCTGCAGTCTGTCCTCCAGGGCCTGACGGCGAGGAGCTGGTTCATCCCCTTGTGCCCGGCACAGTGCGCAGGGCGGAGGACAGCACCGGCTTGTGCCGGTCAGGGCAGGTGCCCGCTCCCACCTTCGCACCCCGAGCTGTGAGGTGGGCGCCAGGTGCTCGCTCTGAGTCCGCTCGCCGCCTTTAAGGTTTTGAACTTGTGAAACGTAGTTTAAAGAGAAGAAGAGTCTGGTAGGGCCACTCAGTGAGCCTGAGACCACTGCTCTCCCACGCAGCTGACTACGGCTCAAGTCCAGGACCCGATGGCTTAAAATTCACACCGGGTGTATGCGAGCATGCCCAAAATGCTGGGGAGCGGGGGAGAAGGAGTGCAGCGTGGCCATCCCCGGGAGGTGACTTCCCACTTCCCCTCTCACTGTCTGTCCCCCTCTCTCTTGGTGAGTGCACATGCCCTGCGGCAAAAACCTAAGAATAAACCAAAGACTTCTCACTTCACAGTTTCATTTTCTGAACCAGAACGTGATCTGCTTCATCCTGGCGAATCTCACCCTTTAATAAGGACCATCTCACATTTACGCAGGAGCACTTCAAACACGTTCAACACCGCTGGGCAAAAGCCCCACGAGGCGGAGGGGAGTGTGTGTGCACGTGTAAGGGAGGTGCGTGTATGTGTATGCGTGTGCACGCGTGCACACCGACGTGCACGGGCACACCCCGGCTCTCAGACTGGGTGGGAACAAGGCAGGTGCTATAGCCCGGCCGACAGACGGGGCTGCACCGCGGCCAGGCGGGTCTCCCCAGGCCCCGCTCTCGTGCAGCGGGAACACGGAGCGAGTGCTCCCTGCGAGTGGGTGCTGCCGACAGGCCCCTCCCGGACCCGCCCGGTGCCCAGCTGACCTGGTCCGACACGTTGTACCAGTCGTAGTCGAAGGGGTGCACGCTTGTGCTCTGGGAAAACGCCAAGATGGACAGGTTATAGCAGGCCCGCGAGGCGTACAGCAGGGTGACGGTGACGCCGACAGCAGTGACTTGGCACACGGAGGAGCCCTGGAAAAGAGGGGCTGGAGGGTGGGCTCTACCCCCTCCAACCTGGGTCCGGCCCCTCGGGGTCTCACCGGGCTTCTGCCAGAACCCGCCCTCGGGCCAGAACTCCTGACCCCTACGTCACCCACACTCTTTACTGAC